TGTGTGTGATTATTCACAGGGTACAAGGTTGTTGTTGTTAAGTGCCGTCAAGTTGCTTCTGACTCATAGTGATCCTCTATAGGGTTTCAGGGGAGTGGCTGGTGAGTTTGGATCTCAGACCTTATCATTCAAGTGCCCTTGCAGCCCTGTGCTTATCCTACCATTCCACACCGGGACTCCAGTGGACATATGTTAATTTGGGTGATGGGAAAGGCAACAAACAGTTAAGAGGGAGGTCAGCATAGGAAAAATGAAAGCAGTGACGGACACATGGAAGAGTGCACATGTTCAAATGAAGAAAGGTAAGTACTGTGAATTGATGGTATGTGGAAGGGATTTCAACTATTGTAACGACACAAAGTGTATGATTTGTTGAATGTGGGACTCAGGACTCAGTTCATAATAAAAAGGTTTTTGTTTTTTTTAAATACATTATATTTCAAGACGATATATAGTGAAGAAAATAGTGTACCTGTATATTCACTTGATAGTCCGTGGGACCATGAATAGATCCATATAAACCAAATCCAACTATAGAAATTCTTCTATTAACTGTGAACCTGAGAGAAGGAAGCCAGATATAAAATAATACATATATAATTTAGCAAGCATTCAATTTTTAAAAGTGTTACCTGGAATATTTAATTTTGCTTATTAAACGGAAAACTATCACAAATCAGATTTCATTAGAAATGTCAGTTTGTTTGCTTATATAAACTTCCTTCTAAAGGTAGAATAAACTTAACTGGAATTCAATTAGAATTTTTCTGCATTCTACAGTTTTGAGAGTCAAAGGAATTTATTCAGTTTAAACACTTATTTATAATATAATAATTTTAGTGATATAACAAGTTCAGTCCAAGTATGACAGAGCTTCAAAAAGTTTGTGGAACTCTGAGTGTTATGCACTGTAAGGCAGGCAAAGTGATGACAACTTCTTGGATATTATCAAACATTCTAAGGCAATGAGCTGCTGGACCTGGGGACACCATGGTCAGCTGGCATAACACAGTCCACAGAGACAGTGTTCGACACCCTACTCTGGTGAGTAGCATCTGCATCTTAAAGGCTCTTAAGCGGCCATCTGAGGTACAGCTATTGATTGGTCTCTCCATGTGCAGAAGAAAGAAAAGTGATGAGAAGAGAAGAGGTTTGGAATCAATTAATCCAATGGACTAATGGAACATGTGAACATGTCTCCATGACTCTGAGACCAGAAGAACTACATGGTGCCTGGCTGTCACCACCAAATGCTCTGAAAGGGATCACATTAGAAGTTCCAAGAGACAGCAGCTGAAAATGTAGAACAAAACTTTGAAAAAAAAAAATACCAGGCTTACTAATCAGAAAGAGACTGGAGGAGCCTGACGCTATGGCACTCCAAAGTGTCACTCTTCAGGTCTGGAAAGAAACTTACCCTCATGTTTCAATTTTCAGCCAAGCAGTAGATAGGTATATAGGGGGGGCAACAACACTATTAAGGTACGGTCACCATGGAACTGCCAATCATTCTAAATCCAAAGGGCATCATCTATCTAAGGACAAAGATGAGAAGGGATGGGAAGGTGGTGGGATGGAAATAGAACCACCGGGAAGCAGTGGAAAATCTGTTGTTGCATGCAATATCTCATTGCAGTCACTGATACGAAACAAAGTGTAGGATTTGTTGAAAGTAAAACTGATGATCGTGTAAATTCATTCAATTTACAATAAAAAGTTAAAAAAAAAAAGTTTGTGGAAAAATGGAATGAAAAGATAATGGAATTTTTCCACGAACTAATTGAAGCCCCTCATATTTTTGTATAACTCCTTCATGAGCATACAAATTTGGTCACTAGGCCTGAAAGTCAGCATGAGCTATGACAATGTATTGATTCAAACAATATTTTCTAAGAGCTTTTATATTTAGGTACTGTGCTTGGCACTAAGAAAATAAAATGGTCACGGAAGACATTTTAAATTGCTGTTGAGTTTACACAGTTTAGTGGAGGACATTGATAATAAACTAAACAAAGTAAAAAATAACCATACATCGTGCTAAGAGCTACGAAGGGTATAGACTTCTGTAACTTAATATATTGTGAGCACAGGGGCCCAATTCATACAAGTGGGACAGAATGAAGATATCATACGAGAACATTTGCAAAGTCCAATTTGGCCGTAACAATAAACTATGTACAGATTTTATAAATAGCACTGGAAGTATAAAATCGGAGATAAACTGTAATGTAAAGCAACTGTTTTACTTTCATCATTATTACTACCATACCGTCACTTAACGAGTACTTCCCTAACGTTCCAGGCACTCAGCTTCAGTTCTTTAGATGAATTCTCCTATAATTGATAAGACAGGTCTAGGTAACTCGTCCCGTGTCAAAAAGTGGCAGAGGTGGGACACAACCAGGTCAACCTGGATCAGAAACGCACTACGGACAACTGCCAGTATACTAGGATTATCTTATAAAATTTAGAATATACTACTCTCTCTTTTCTTACAGATAAGCCCACCATCCAAAGATAACCTCTGTTAACCCAGAGTACATTTCCTTTTCACACTCTTTTCTATGAACGTATATGTATTGTTTAAAAATCATACTGGAATATACATTTGTAACCTGTTTGTTTTGTAAAAAAGTGGTGAGTTACAATTGATTCACTGTTATTTACATAACCCCTTGTAACTGGATTTTAAGTGTTATTTTACTTTATTATAACAATACGATGGTGAACAATCTTATAGCTAAATCATTTTTTTGAACTTTAATTATTACCTTAAAATAAATTCCTAGCAGTAGAGCTGCTAAGCGAAATGCACAGCACATGTTAAAGGCGCCTGAAAAGATGTTGTCAAACTGCTTTCTGGAAAGGTTATTACACTTTACACTCCAAAATGAATGAGCACTCATCAAACATGGGTATTTTAATTTTTGTGTGTGTGTGTGTGTGATGCTGCTGGATGAAAAATAGTGTTTTGACTGCATGTATAATTCATTGATAATGAATGAGGTGAAACATTTACGTATCAATTGCTTACTGCCCCTGTAGTTCCCTATTTAATGAAATGCCCACTTAGGTTCTTTTCTCATCTTTCTCTACTGGCATGTTTATCTTTTTCATGTGGATGTGAAAGTGCACATTTAGATTCAGCTATTTAAAGTGTGTCAGTAATATCCGTGTTTAAAAGTTTCCCATTAGTCCTTTATGTTTTAGATCTATGGGCTTGGGCCAAGTTTACATAGGGCTGCCGCCTCATCCTTACAATAATCAGCATTCATCTGTTGTAGAACTTTCATGGTTTCATATTTTCAATGTCAAAATTTTATTTGTATGAAGATTGGTATATGAGATTAGTAAGGAGATTACTTTATGTATTCTCAGAAGTTAATAATTTCCTTATCATTATCATATTCTACATGCTCATTTACGTCTAGGTGGGTTTCTGAACTCTATAGTCTGATTCATAACACTTTTATGTTAGACAGTTTTACAATACTTTCTCATATTTGATCCATACCACTCTTAAGAGAAACATCTACTCTTTCAGAGGAACTTTAGAATAAATTTTACTGAATCACTCCCTTTTACGAAAAAAAAAAAAAAGGGGGGGGGGGGGAACTTTTGAAAAGACATGGATAAAATACATTGAAAAGTATTTTTATTAAGGTATCCTTATTAAAGTATCCTTAATAAACTGTGATTCCAGTTGAAACTCTCTAGTTTGCCATAAAGGTATTACTGTATATTTCTTATAGGACTCAATTCTAGTATTTTATGTTACTTCTTACCATTGTGAATAGGACCAGCTTTTACTCAACACTGTAACAAGGTTTTCATGACATATAGGGACAGCACTGATTTCTGCACATACATTTTATAAGTAGCCACTATTCTCTTATTAAGTCTAACAGGTTGTTGTAGTTGTTGTTGTTGTTTAAAAAAGAGCTAATTCGGAGGTCACTCAGATGATGGACCAGTTGTTCTCAAAGGGAATTTACCCCTTAGGAGACATGCTTTGTTGTCACTTAGGGTTAGGGGCATACTGTCAGGGAACCAGGAACACTTGATTTCCTGCAATTCTTATTTCTTTTGCTGTAGAGTTGGTTCTGACTCATAGCAACCCTAGGGAAGAGCGTAGAACTGCCCATAGTATTTCCAAAGCTGTAAATCTTTATGGAAGCCGTCTGCCACGTAGTTCTCATGTGGAGCAGCTGGTGGGATCGAACTGCCTATCTTTCAGTTAACAGCTGAGTGCTTACTCACTGTGCCTCCACAAAAGACTTTCAATCAACTTTCAAGTTTCCTGCCAGAATTCATGTAGGTGAAAAACTTACTTATAATGTGTGTCTTGAACCTGTTACTATTGTGTGCTGTTGAGTCGGTTCTGATTTGTAGAGACCCTCCCTGTATATAAGGGTTCCGAGTCTATAAATCTTTGTGGGAGCAGAAAGCCACCTCTTTCTCTCATGGAGCAGCTGGTGAATTCAAACTGATGACCCTGTGGTTAGGATTCCAACTCGTAACCTGCCACACCAGGGCTCCTTGCCTGAACTAGTTCTGGTTTCTTAATAAACCAAAGATTTTTTAGATGCAATTTCAATATTCACTGACTTTCCCGAGAGGCAACTCTCATATAAATAGAAGTAATATTAAACTTTGTTTTATCTGAAACTTTACCAAAGATTCTTGACCATTTAAAGAAAATGACATGACAGTACTGGCATTGCTGGTATTTGAGGCATTCCTAGGACCCACCTGAAACCCTGCAGAAGAAACCGTTCATCATGACCCTACTGTATAGCTCACTACTCCAATCTACCTTCTAGTGGAGTCCTGCCCAAGCACTTCTAGACTGAAGGAAGTATCTACCTCTACCATCAGTTACAAATAAGCTATTTATCTTCTTAAAATATTACATAAAACCTATTATTATGATATCTCATTTCAGGTTAATAAAGAAGGAATTACAAAATACTTATGAAAAGGGAAAAGTAGGATTAAAAGAATAGACAATTGTTTAGGTAGATGTCCATTTGCAAATAATGAAAATGACCTCTCTCTTTCCCATATTCAAACTTCTATTTTAAGAAGGCATCCTTACTAGGAGGTTTCTTATAGGTCTTGGTGTGGCGCTATAGGATAAGTACTGTATTATTAACCACAAGGTTAACAGTTCAAACCCACCAACTGCTCCTTGGAAACCCTATACATCAGGGGTGGGGAACCTTTTTCTGCCAAGTGCCATTTGGTATTTATAACGTCATTCGCAGGCCAGACAAAATTATCAACTTAAAAATTAGCCTGCTATAAAGTGATAGCTGGAACTGTGGTTGCCTTGGCAGGGCCAGACTAAATGATTTCGCGAGCCAGACATTCCCCACCTCTGCTATATAGGGTCTCTATGAATCAGAACCGACTCCATGCACTTAACAAAAACAATCATGTTAAAGAGGAGTCCTGGCTAACCACAAGGTAAGTGGTTCAAAACCACCAGCCGCTTCTCAGAAACCCAGGGCTACTAATCATGGCACTTAACAATAAATCATGTTAAATTAATATTCTTCTAGACCTAGTTCTATCTGAAATGAAGGTAAAATTACCAGGAGTGTTTTTTGGGCATCTATTGAAATAAACAGATTGTGCTTTTCAATTAATATGCAGCTACTGTGATGAATTATATATTTCCTAATATAGTTTATATAGTATTATTTTTCAAAGTGCTGCTTGATTAAATGCTAATATTTCACTTAGAATGTCTGCATCTATAATAAGTGAAGCTGTTCTATAATTTTTTTTGTTAGATTACTATCTAAGGGTTATGCTTTCTTCAATAAATAATTGAGAATGTTCTTTTAATTCTCAAGTAACTCATTTATTCCTCGAAGGTTGGTAAAACTCACCTTTCAAAACCACCTTGTGAAGGGACACAGTTCTTTGATAACTTTTAATTTCTTCCATGGTTATTGGTCTACTCAGGCTCTCTTCTTCAGTCAATTTTGATAATTAATATTTGCCTAAAAATGATCCATTCCATCAAGATGTTCAATTTATTATCACAGAGCAAACCCAGAATTCAAAAAGATTTTCCTCAGTATATGACTGTAGTCCCATTTTTATTTCTAAACATGTATGTTATATTACTTTTGCCAGAGGCTTATTTATTTTGTTGGTCTTTTAAGTATCCAGCTCAGTGCTGGATATTTATGATTAATTAATTAATCAATGCTACTATTTATGATCAATTAATTTCTACATTTACCTATTTCCATTCCCCTCACGTATGCTTCTTTTGCTATTTATTTTTAGCTACTTGGGGTGAATGCTTGATTCATTTATTTTTATTTATGTATTTTTTAACTAAAAGTAATTAAATTATTGTTTTTTATTTGTGTGTAACTTTGGCTTCATCCTGTTTAGGGATTTTTTTCCCCCATTAAATTTCTATACATAGAATTTTCATTATAAATGATTTCTAAATATACAGAAATGCCTTTCCAATTGTAATACAATATTTAGATGTTTCCCACTAAAGAAGCTTTCCTTTTTTTTCTCTAACAACCTGTTAATAATATCTAGTTTAATATTACAGTGCTAGTTAGTAATAGAAAATCCAAAAGATATGTTTTATGAACACTGCTACTGAATCTCTGAGGGTAAGTAAAAAAGTTGTTGTTGTTGTTGTTGTTGTTATGTGCTGTGAAGTCAGTTCCGTCTCATAGCGACCCTGTACAGGGTTTCCGAGGCTGTAAATCTTTATAGGAGCAGAACGCCTCATCTTTCTCCCGCGGAACAGCTGGTAGTTTCGAACTGTTAATCTTGAAGTTCACAGCCCAATTCGTAACCACTACGCTACCAGAGCTCCTTAAGTAAAAAAGTATTGCCGACAAAATAAAAATGTGATAGTTTCTAAACATATCCTCCATTTCGATCTACATGTCTCTGCAAGTAGTGTTTACATCTCTCCAACCTGTTCCCAAAGAATTCTGTATTCTTCAATCTATACCATATCAAAATGGCAGTATGGGCATCTCTGAGGGATACAAATTGTGCTCCTTTTAAATGTTGAGTTTTGACAACCAAAAGAAGTCTGAAGAAGCAAGATGATGGCTATAGGGTGGATGGGGTATGGTTTCCCAGAGAAATTCTCCCAGGACAGCCTTTGCTATCCTCAAAGAATGAACAGGTATATTGTTGTGATGGGAAAAAAAATCCTTGGTGTAACTTACCTGATCTTTTTCTCACCAATGTAATTTTCAGTTTTCTTAAATTTTTTTCTAAATAAACCCCTGGGGGCATCCTGTGTCCTTTGAGAATTTCTATCCTTTGGAATCCCACAGAGCAGGTGCCATAACCTTCTGAGCTGACTTCTCAATCTTGAATTTAACTGGACCAGATCCCCTCAGAAGCCACAGTTTTAACTGGACCTTGGCTCTCTGAACCATACAGGTAAATCCAAGATTTGCCCCAGGTTACAATAAGTCTCATGAAATCATCTTCATTAGATTCGATCCTGCTTAAAAGACTGATAGCTCTGAATCACTTTTGGCACCCACTGAGCCTAAAGGTTGCTGAGACCAAGATGATGGTCACTTAAAATTGAAAAAGACAAACCACGTGAGACCTGTATTCAGTAGATATCACACTGATGCTAATTCTATGGTCTTCCTCCACCACCTTCTCAACTTGAACCACAGAATCTTCATTTAAGGCTGATAGACTTCCCACTCTTGATTTATCTTTGATGTTTTCCTGATCTTCCATAAAATGTTTGATCCATCTAGAAACTGTGGGATAGCAACCCTATAAATTAGTTGCAAAGCTTCAATGATTTGGTAAGATGTCTACTTGAGTTTTCTTTTTAATTTGGTATTAACTTTGACCTCAAAATCTTTGTCCATGACACAAGAAGTATCCTCCTTTTTTGAAGGAACCTAGATGAGACTATGACAAGTATATTACTAAGAAAATTTATCTGTAGCTGTCTGCTGATTGCAGACGCATGTTTAAACACACTTTGTTTGGAACAAACTCATGTATGTATGAACTAGAACCCTAGTAGCAGAATTTTTTTTATTTATCCTTATATTTTTATATGTAACCTAAAGAAATATAATAAAGCATACATGCATACAATTTGAATATTCTTAATTTCTGTCTCATTCAATGCTTTTAAAAATGTACACCGAGTTATTTTTTATGCACTATCTATGCAAACAAAAAGCTCACACTAAACGTTGTTAAGTACCATCAAGCCCATTCCGACTCACAGTGACCCTGTATAGTTTCTGAGGAGAGGCTGGTGAGCTTGAACCACCGACCTTGCAGTCCAGCTCATTAATCCACACAGTAAGGCTATTTAAGAAATCTTAGTGTTAGGCCTGTAAAAACAGTGTTTGATCAATTATATTCTAAAAATATTGTTCACTGGCAGTGGACATCCAAACAGAAGGTCCAACCCATTCCTTTATTACTTAGTCCCTAAAATGTCCCTCTCAGTGGAGATCAAGAGGCTTCACTGATATCAAGATTCTTTTATTAACTTACAAATGTATTAAAGTCTAAGATAAAATGTTGGTTCGTCATTTCCTACGATATAAGGATCAAGGCTGCTCCACTTTCTCCCCCAAGTCTACATCTGACAGATACCTGATTCGATCACTTGTTCCACTGTAACCCCAGCGACTCTCTACTTGCTGGAATCTATTAATGCTGCATTCTTTTCCTCGGAGGCAGCACCTTGGTCGGTCGATCAATGTATTCAACTCGGGGTTTAGGATTGACAGTAAAATGAAGAAAGAGATTAACCACTTCACGATCTGACAAAATTCCAGATTGAGCAGGACCTGTAGAAATAAAAACATAAGCCTCGATAAAAGATTTCATATCCTAATATCCTAACACTCTTCTTAATAATGTGAACTCAAATCTGGAAGATGCAAGCTAAAAAATGCGATAGAAAAATCCTAACAAATATAATTTAAGGCAATATTTAATTTTAAGGTTTCAATAAAACCATTTGGGTTAACTTTAAGCATATAAGTGCTGCTGTTATTCTGTGCTGTACAGTCGGTTCCAACTCATAGGGACCTGATGCACAATAGCATGAAACAGTGCCCAAGCCTACACCATCCTCACAATTGTTAGGTTTGAGCCCATTCCTGCTGCCACTGTGTTAATACATCTCGTTGGGAGTCTTCCTCGTTTTTGCCGACCCTCTACTTTATCAAGCATGATGTCCTTTCTCCAGGGACTGGTCCTTTCTGAGAACAAGTAGAAGAATCTCACCATCATCGCATGCAAGGAACAAACAGAAAAAGAGTTGTACTGCTTCAAATACAGATTTGCTTGTTTTTTTCTGGAAGTCCAAGGTACTTTCAATACACTGCTCCAACAGCATAGCTCAAATGCATCAATTTTTCTAGTCTGCCTTATTCACTGCCCAGTTTTCACATCCATAATGAAAATACCATGGCTTGGGTCAGGCACACCTTAATCCTAAAACTGACATCTTTGCTCTTTAACGTTTAAAGAGGTCTTGTATAGCAGATTTACCAAATGTAATACATCATTTGATTTATTGACATCATTTGATTTATTAACACTAGCTACCAGTGTTAATTGTGAAACCAAGCAAAAATGGAAGTCTTTGACAACTTCAGACTTTTCTCCATTTATTATGATTTAATTTACTGGTCCAGTTGCAAGAATTTTTGTTTTCTGTACATAGAGGGTGCAATCCATACCGAAAGCTGTATTCTTTGATCTTCATCAGTATTTTAAGTCCTTTTGACTTCCAGCAAGCTAGGTTGTATCATCTGTATATTGCAGGTTGTTCATGAGTCTTCCTCCAATCTGATTTCATGTTTTTCTTCATATACTCAAGCTTCTAGGATTATTTGCTCAGCATAAAGACTGAATAACTATGGTGAAACAATACACCTGTGGTGCACGTCTTTCCTGATTTTAAACCATTCAGTCTTATGTTATTCCAACAGATCTTAGTCTATGTACAGGTTCCTCATTAGAACACTTAAGTGTTCTGGAATATCCATTCTTCACAATGTTACCCATAGTTCGTTATGATCTACACATAACAACTTTGTATAGTCAATAAAGCACAAATAAATATCTTTCTGGTATTCTCTGATTTCAGAGAATCTAAATATCTGGGCCCTGACTTTTTGTTGGTACTTAATGACTTGACTAATTTCTTCTCTTGTTACAGGTGTGGCAACATCAGTGATATCCTTGGTCCCTGTCCTCTGCTTGAATTTCTGGTAGTTTCTTGATGATGTACTATTGCAACCATTTTTGAATCCTCTTAAAATTTTACTTGCATGTGATATTAATGGTATTGTCTGATGATTTCTGCATTTCACTGGACTACCTCTCTTTGGAATGGGCACAAATATGGATTTCTTTCAATCAGTTGGCCAGGTAGCTGTCTTCCAAATTTCTTGGCATAGATGAGTGAGCACCTCCGGTTCTTTATCAGTTTGTTGAAATAATGTGTATTCCGTCGATTCCCAGAGGCTGCCTTGTTTTTCATGAATGCCATCAGTGCGCTTAGACTTCTTCCTTCCATACCACAGTTGTTGATCATACGCTGCCTCTTGAAATGGTTAAACACTGACCATTTCTTTTTGGTGCAGTGACTATATTCCTTCTATCTTATTTTAATGTCTTTTGCATCATTCAATATTTTGCCCATAGAATTCCTCACTATTTCAAGTTGAGGCTTGAATCTTTTATCAGTTCTTTCAGCTGGAGAAATGTTGAACATGTTCTTCCCTTTTGGTTTTCTAACTCCAAGTCTTTGCACATTTCATAATAATACTTAACTTTGTCTTATCCAGCTGCCCACTGAAATGTTCTGTTCTGCTCTTCCACTTCATTTCTTCCATTTGCTTTAGCTTCTCTAAGCTCAAGAGTAAATTTCAGAGTGTCTTCTGACATTCATTTTGGTCTTTTCTTTCTTTTTTGTCTTTTTAAAGACCTTTTGCTTTCTTCCTGCATGATGTTCTTGATGTCATTGGTCATTCGTGTGTCATGTACCAAATCTGTTCTTCAAATGGTCTCTAAATTCAGGTGAGATATATTCAAGGTCATATTTTGGCTCTCGTGAATTTCCTTACATTTTCTTCTGCTTGAGCTTGAACTTGCATATGTGCAAATGGTGGTCTGTCCACAGTCTGCTCCTGGCCTTTTCTGATTGGTAATATTGAGGTTTTCCCACCGTCTCTTTCACAGACAGTCCATTTGATTTCCATATATTCCATCTGGTGAGGTCCAGTTATATAGTTGCCTTTATGATGTTAAAAAAGGACAGCCTCATTAACAAATCAAATATATGAACAGTAAGGACAAAAGACCTGAACAACTTCATGGCGACCCTGTATATGATTTCCAAGGCTGTAAACCTTTATGGGAGCAGAAAGCCTATTTTTCTCCCATGGAGCAAATAGCAGGTTTGAGCTGCCAACTTTGCGATTAGTAGTCCAATGCTTATCCTAAAGTGCCACAGGGTCTCCATAGCAGACTGGCTATTACTCGATAAATGACAGTTCATTTTCCTCTTTGGGTATTAAGAGACTGCTAGCTGACTATTAGAATACTCTCAAATCGATTCTGCCCTTACCTGCTGCAAACTCCTCAATCGTCATCAGTGGGAACCGAATTAAGGAAAGTGCTTTTCCTAGAACTTTCTGTTTGTTTCCAAAAGTCACAGGCAATTGTTGCCTCTGACATTCTGCTTCTGCCCAGCGAACAACAGCAGCAAAAAGTCGGCTTTCTCGAATACTAAGTGTGTCCCTTTCTAGGACTGCACAGAGTGTGTCTACAGGTAAAACATAAAAATATGTTAAACTGGGAATATTCTGCTCCTCTTTAAAAAAATCAATACTACTGACACACAAGCTTACATTAAGTTTTCAAACCTCATAAAATGAGAATAGGTAAGACATTTAAAACAACAGCATCTATACTTAAAAGTATTAAATGAAAGTATTAAATTCCAATGTTTTCTCTAACAGTTAACATTCAATTATTATTTAACATATACACAAGCTTAGACATAGTATCTCTTTAAATACTTGTATTTTCCTTATATATTCCTTACAAAGCAAACATGACTATGAAGAACACAATTAATAATAGGTAAGTCACAGAAAATGGCTTCAAAAAGCCCACAGATTACAATTCATTCAGCAAATATATACTATTAAGTACTCAGTATATGTTCTGGTGTGGCATTACAGGATAAGCACTGGACTGCTAACCACAAGATGGCAGTTCAAACCTACCTGCTGCTTCTTGTAAATTTTATACAGAATCACTATGAGTTGGAACTGACTCGATGGCACATCACAACAACAATATGCCAGGTACTATATAGTAGACACTGAAGATACATCACTGTAAAAATCTTTGCCCTCATGGATCTTACATTTTAATGGGGAGAGGGAAAGAAGAGATTAACTAAACATAAGTAAATTAAATTGTATGACGTTAGACGATAAATATTAAAAAACAAAACAAAACCCCAGCAGAATATGGGGAATTATAAGAAAAAAGATGATAGTTTTTGGGTAGGCCTCTGTGGTGCAGTGAATTACTTAATGTTGTTGTTGTTGTTATGTGCCGTCGAGTCGTTTCCGACCCATAGCAACCCTGTACAGGGTTTCTAAGGAGCAGCTGGTGATCTTGAACCACCAACCTTTCAGTTCAAAGGGCTTTGCAGTCTGGCACATTAACCCACAGCACCACACCAGGACTCCCTTCTAACCAAAGTCTTTGTGATTCCCACACAATACTAAGGTGGGGCTCTGCAAACAAGGTGCTTGTGGCTCAAGAAGGGGACTCTACCGCTTATGGCTAGTACAAACAACATACATGGGATCTGTGATGGTTAGTTATGTGTCAACTTGACAGGCCATGAGTTTCAGGGGATTGAAAGTCATACAATGATACAACTATCCACCACTTTGTGATGGGTTGTAAATCCTAGCCTCTATGAGTCCTGGCATGGTAGGATAAAGCATTGGATCACAAAGTCAGTTTGAACTACAAGGCCGACAGTTCAAACTCACCAGCTGTTCCTCGGGAACCCTCTACAAGGCGGCTATGAGTTGGAACCAACTTGACAGCACTTAACAGCAACAACGCCTGTGATTATGGTCTCACTGAGAGTGAGCTATCTATTATATTAATGAGGCAGGATTAGGGTGGGGAATATCTTGTGTCAACACATTAGCTCAAATAAGGAGTGTTTTCTGGAGGGTATGATCTACATCCAATACAGATAAATACTCAGGCAAGTTCTCACTCTTGCTTTCAATCCTGCACCCAGCTCATCATCATTTTATCTCTGGTTCTTGGTACTTGAGATAGTCTGACCTGATCTTCCAGCTTCAGCGGCCTGTTGTCTGACCTGTCAATTGGAGTTTGTCAGCTCCAGCATCCATGAGTTAGAAGAACCCTCCAGTCTGACCCACAGATTGGGATTTGCTAGCCTCCACAACCATGGGTTGTGGAACACAGCCTTCAGTATGGGTTGCATCTCAATGTCAGAAAAACAAAAATCCTCACCACTGGACCAATAAACAACATTCTTATCAATGGAGAAAAGACTGAAGTCATCAAGGACTTCATTCTTCTTGGATCAACTATCAACACTCGTGGAAGCAGCAGTCAAGAACTCAAGATGACGTATTGCATTGGGCAAATCTGCTGCACAGGAACTTTTTAAAGTGTCGAAGAGCAGAGATGTCAGCTTGAGGACTAAGGTGTGCCTGACCCAAGCCATGGTATTTTCAATAACCTCATATGGATGCGAAAGCTGGACAGTGAATAAGGAACACTGTAGAAGAATTGATGCCTTTGAGTTGTGGTGTTGGAGAATACTAAAAGTGCCATGGACTGCCAAAAGAACCAATAGATCTGTTTTGGAAGAAAAGCAGCCAGAGTGCTCCTTGGAGGCCAGGATGGCTAAGCTTCGTTTCTCATACTTGGGATATATTGTCAAGAGAGAACAGTCGCTGGAGAAGGATGTCATGCTGGGTAAGATGGTCAGAGAAAAAGAGGAAGACCCCTAACGAGATGGATCAGCCAGGCGGCATCATTGATGGCGTCAAGTGTGACTGCGGGGGTGGGGTTGGCCCAGGATCAGACATTGTTTCGTTCTGCTGTGCATGGGGTTGCTATGAGTCAGTTCCGACTCGATGGCCCCTGACAACAACAACAACAATACAACTATGGGAGCCATTTCCTTGACAGCTTGTGAGTTCTATGAGATGGTGCTTTGAACTATGGAATCTGAAGATGGGAATGAGAGTACTAAAGAGAGTTACAGGAGTTGATGTTAGAGATGACTGAGCGGCACAACAGTATGGAAAAATTGGGCATTTGGTACATCTTTAACCTCGGCCTCATGGGAACCTGTACTAATCTTTCTAAAAGATATTATTAATTTAGCCTAATATGAACAAAAACTGGAAACAGGCTGAAGAGGAAGCCAGGTTGATGCCTAAACATTTCAATCTGGTGAAAGGGGTGGGGAATGATGGTGATACGATTTTATGATTCAATGATGAGTAACTGTCAACAGGATTGTGATCGTCACAACGGTAATTCTAGATGTGTAACTAAAAGGAGGTACTAGTGAATTTCTCATTTCAGGAACAGATGATCCCAGGACCATCAAGAAGGAAGATCATGAGTGGAGCATGAAAACAGCGGCAACAGAAACGATAGTGGCAGAGGCTGTGGCATGGAGACACAGAACAGCTGCAAGCTCCAGGCCCATAGGCTGAATAAGGCTGTGTGTCTACAGGTAGGAGGCTGCCTTGCAGAATGTGCCCTTTGTACATTTAAATGAATACATTATTTTTGTTTTATATGTTGTAATCAAGTATTTTGCTTTATTTGTGAAATATATAAGAATTAAAAGGGATGGCACAGGGAGGAAGTAGGATAACTACTGTTTCAGGGAGGGGATTATAATCATTGAGATGAAACAAAGTGGATCATTTATTGAATACAAAGCTGACGATCTTGTCTGTTAACTTTCACTCAATTCACAATAAAAAGTTCCAAAAAAAAAACAAAACACTCCAGGACTGCCGGTGTGAGGGCGCTAATATTCAAGGAACCGCAAGAAGACCACTGTGGCTCAAGTGGCGTGAACAAAAGAGAAGGCCAGACTCTTGCGGGTAGCCAGGGTACAATTATACAGCACAGTTGAGACCATCTGGTTTTTACATTCAGTGAACCCCTGGAGGGCTTTGTGCAAAACAGTGACATTTTATCTTCTAAAAAGATAACCCTGACTGCTGTGTTGAGAAGAGATTAACATGGGGTTAAGGGTTAAAACAAGAAGATCACTTAGAATATTCCTGCACTGATAAAGGTCTTAATGATATGGTGAAATAAGTTCCTTTATGTAGCCTTTTGTCTAGGTTCTTTTTGAGAGATTTACCCCCAAGCCCTAGAAGAGTTATCTTTCCTCTAGTTCTCTACCCAAAGAGGAGAAAACTTTTGTCCAGGTTGATTGATTTATCCTGGGTAGGCTGCAGAAAACTCATAGCTTGATACTTGTTTGGCTCTGGACCGCAGTCTGCACTGTGATTGATAAGCACTTTTTAGGGACTGGTGAATAAACCATGCAAATAAACTGACTTTGGACTATGCATAGCTACTATACAAGTGAGGTATCCGTAGTCTATCACGAGGGAATTGGTCAGTTTGTGACCTATCTCTGGGAAGAGCCATGCCTTGAAATTGACAAGGAGCTGTGTATATAAGCAACCAACCCTACAGAGGGTTTTGAGACAGAAAGAAGCAGGAATAGAACAAGAAGCAGAAGGAAGAAAGCACAGTGACAGCAAAGAGCAAGTGAAAGGAAAGATCCTCCTAAAAGAGCTTGAAAGCAGGTCAAGAACTGTAACCCTGAAGACAGAAAAAGGCCCAGAAGGGCCCCAGATGCAGAGCTGGAGGTGATGGGCCTCGAGGGGGCCCTGCAGCAGAACGGATAGTGACAGACATCAGGACTTACAGGAAGTTATCCTGAGAAGGCTGAGAAGAAGCCTGTTGGTTGAGAGATTGCCTACATGTTCCCTGATCCTGATCCCTGTTACTCACTTCCCTAATAGGAAATCCTAGTGTGGCGCTGCAGGATAAAGTTGTTGTTGTTGTTAAGTGCCGTGGAGTCGGTTCTGGAGGGCAATGTCAGTTTGAACCGCAATGTCGGTGATTCAAACTAGCAGCCACTCCTCAAAAACCCTATACAGGGTTGCTGTGAGTCCAGACTGCCTCAATGGTACTTAACAACAACTTCCATAATAACCCACTTAAATGTTTAAGTATGGTCTGTGAGTTCTGTGTGACCACTGAAATGGACTATCACGTCCAGAAGAGAAGTAAAGACTTGTGCTGTGGGAGGAATGGCTGGTGTTAGACTTGGCAAAAAAGTTGGCAAGTGGAATTATGCCTTTTACCTCACAGGGATTAGCTTTACCTCACAGGGATAAACTGATCTTGCTGCATTATTCTCCCTAAGCTAAATGAGATCTGATGCCACCATTTTATACCTCTTGTTGTAAAGCGTCGGTTCTGATTCATAGCGACTCTGCATAGGGTTTTTGAGGAGCGGCTGGTGAGTCTGAACTACCAACCTTGTGCTTCAAATCGACCTTGCAGCCAAGTGCTTATCCTAGCAGCAAACCAAGACTGCTGGGCCAGGATAAACCAGCAGTAAAATTGGCAAAAAATGATTAGATTCAGGTTATATTCTGAAGGAAGATTCAATGAGCTCTCCTAATATATTGGATACGGGGTACG